GCAAAAAAAAAAAAAAAAAAAGAGTGGGTATTGATTAGGGGAGCTACTTAGTCATGTTTTCTTTTGTTTTCCTCTTTTTCAAACAAACAGAAAGGGGAAAAAATCAGATTAGTTTTCTATCTATTAACTTTTCCTAATCTTTCACAAGAGGTATATATTACTGACTGTTGCTTATAAATGTAACCTCTAAATTCTCACCCTGACGCTAAATTAGAGTCTCTTTATTTCTCTATTTGATCAGCTATTTCGTTTTTCACTCTCCTTAGATGCGAGATCTGTGGATTCACTTGCCGGCAAAAGGCATCCCTTAATTGGCACATGAAGAAGCATGATGCAGACTCCTTCTACCAGTTTTCTTGCAATATCTGTGGCAAAAAATTTGAGAAGAAGGACAGCGTAGTGGCTCACAAAGCAAAAAGCCACCCTGAGGTGCTGATTGCCGAAGCTCTGGCTGCCAATGCAGGCGCCCTCATCACCAGCACAGATATCTTGGGCACTAATCCAGAGTCCCTGACACAACCTGCAGACAGTCAGGGTCTTCCTCTTCTTCCTGAGCCCTTGGGAAACTCCACGTCTGGAGAGTGCCTTCTGCTAGAAGCTGAAGGGATGTCAAAGTCATATTGTAGTGGGACAGAACGGGTGAGCCTGATGGCTGATGGGAAGATCTTTGTGGGAAGTGGCAGCAGTGGGGGCACTGAAGGGCTGGTCATGAACTCGGATATACTCGGTGCTACCACAGAGGTTCTGATTGAAGATTCAGACTCTACTGGACCTTAGAGGAAGGGAAGACTTTGGGCACTGGGACAGCTAAGACTTTGTATTTAAAAGACAAAAAGGACAAAAAAAAAAAAAATTTAAAGCATTTAAAATCTAGTAAAATAACTGAAGGGCCTGCTTTTTCCATTGTGGATCACAGCACACGTGCGCACACACACGCGCACACACACACGCGCACACACACACACATCCCCTCTTCTCCCTCTGTTGTCCCCTTTATAAAATTGATGTTGCCTTTACCAGAAAGCTAGACAAAGAAAAAGCAGCAGCAGCTCTTAAAGTAACGGTTATTCTTATACTCAGTTCCAGCCAGGCAGACTTCCTGCTCATCAGCAGATCCCCCTTTTCAGCCTGTAACTCTGATGTGCTCTGGATCAGCTTTTAACTCTTAATAATATATTAATATTCTCTAAACCCCTTCTCCTCCTTTACTGCTTCCCTATGGTTCTGGCTTCTATCCCCTGCAGCACATTTATCTTCAAAGTATCATATACTTCTAATCTCTGGAGGCTGGCAGCTTGACTTGGCACTTTAGGGCCCCTTAGCAGGGTGAGCTGTTAAAACAGCACACATCTCTCACCCCCTTTCCCTCTATTCCCCCTGGGTTTAGGAAAGGAAGGATACATGGGGACCACCTCCTGCCTCTTCACCTCACCACCTTCCTCAGTCCCCCTCCCAACACCTCCATAAGGTTCTCAGTGGTGCTCACTTGCTTTGCAAGCAGGCTCCCAACAGGGAGGGAACTACTGTCTACATGGTCTCTCTGACCATAAGACAGGGTTCTATATCAGTGAGAAAAGTCCCAGACTAGTGGCAGAAATTTGCACTTTGAACATGTGTGTTTTTGTGTTGTGGAACCTGAGATTCCTTATTTATTAACAAAGTCTGATTTCTCTTTTTTTTTTTTGTCTTTGTTGCTATATTTTGTGGGGCTGGGAGAGATTAGATTATTCTGACATGGGGTCCTTTGCATAAGAGGTACTTGTAGAAGGCAAGATATAGGGTTGAAGAAGCACAGCCAGCCTCTAAAATCATAGCTCTCTAGTGGCCTTTAAAGAAAGCTGGTCCTCAGCACTAACAAAATCACTACAGTAGCCTAGTGCTTTTCCGGAAACCTCTTTAGGGAAGGATGTTAGGTTTGTGGTAATTAGTGGTCTGAGTTTTTAGAGCATCGAGATTTAGGAATTTTGAGGGGGTCAGGAAGGTTGTTCAGGGTCTGAATTATAGATAAAAGGTTTTCTCTTGTGAATTTGTTGATTTTCTTTTTTGTCCCCATCATTTCTTTGTACAGACCTCCCTGTTACCCCAGCTCTGGCCCCTTGCTTGCTTTGGCTTTGGCTTTGGCTTTGGCTTTGCTTTGCTTTATCATTGGTTGATTCCAGCTCCCAATTAGTGAAGGACACTGCCATCAGTGAAGGAATAGTCTGAGTCATACAGTTGTAAGTAAAAGAAAATTGCTCTGTTTTGTTTCCCTTTTAATAACACTTCAGAAGAAGAAAACCTTCAACAAAGTTAATAATCTGTATAATGCTTTGGTTTTCACCTGAAGTTGTAGGAATTATCATTTCCCTCGAGGTAGGGATTTTCATGGGGTGGATTACTTACTGTCCATGGGAAAGACAGTTTTGTACAACTTCATAACTTCCAGAAGACCAAAAGCATATTTTGGCCCATTTTTAGAGAATTAGAAGGGCAGTCTCTCCTACGTACCTCAGAAACTGGAATTAAAGGCTTGCCCTATTCATTGTTTGTCAGAAATGTATGATGGCTGTTGGAAAGAATGAAGTTTTGCTGAGAACAAAATAAGGAACAGCTTGTTTTTCACAAACACTAAAACTACAAAGTTTATCAGTTTTCTCTTTTGATTTTTTTTTTTCCCCAAGAAGAAGGGTAACAAAACGTCATCTCTGAAAGAGGCTTACTTTACACCCACCTAGTGTCAGTGGTTGGGATGCCAGGGAATAGGGAGTGAAACACCTACAGTGAGCAGTCTTAAATGTACTGTTGTTTCTTTTCAGTGTTGCAGATTTGCCATCCCCTTCAGTGTGAGGGTAGAAAATGGAATAAGGTTAGAAGGGATATAGAGTATGCTTTCCTGCCCACAGTAAGGATTTGGAGATGACTTTGGTATGTTGAGTAAATTTGAAAATATTATAAGATTGACTGGATGGGTCTAAAACAAAGTTGTTCCACTCCCGTATTAAGTCCATTTTGTACTGTTTCACTAGCTAGCATCTATACCCCACTTTACTTTTTGTCTTCGTCACATTTATCTTATCCTTTGTCTCCATAAATTACATTTGCAGTTGTTAGTCATCAGATGTTTTAGCCACCTACACAAAAGCAAACTGCATTTAAAAAAAAAAAAACTTTATGAGATAGAGGGAAAATATATTCTTCCCTGTATCACACTCCTCCCCACCAAAAGCAGCTAGCTAGTTCTCAGAAACTTTCTCCTTTCTCTGTTTTTTACTCATCTTCATTTGCCTGTAATTTGTTTCAATAAATTATTACAGCAGTTTGCGATAAATTTTAAAATATTTTTCACAGACTTAAGATTTTTTCCTTTTGAGAAAAGGGGTGCTAGCAAAGTAAAGAGTTGGTTAAAGTAAACTATCTTATACTAGATTCTTTTCCCTTTTCCATTCTGCTCCTCATACGTTTACTTCATTGTCCTTCTAAGGAACTCTTAATCTTAAAATTCTACATTTCCTACTCTTTTTTTTTTTTTTTGCGATACGCGACCCTCTCACTGTTGTGGCCTCTCCCGTTGCAGAGCACAGGCTCCGGACGCGCAGGCTTAGCAGCCATGGCTCACGGGCCCAGCCGCTCCGCGGCACGTGGGATCTTCCCGGACCGGGGCACGAACCCGTGTCCCCTGCATCGGCAGGCGGACCCTCAACCACTGCGCCACCAGGGAAGCCCAACATTTCCTACTGTTAATCAAATTCTGCTACCTTTTTAATAACTCTTCCCACAGCATATTCTCCATCTTGAATTAGCAATTCTAAATTCTGAAAATGTACTTAATACAACTATTATTTCTACAAGATATAGAAATACATCTTGTAGAAATACATCTTTCCCCTTGTTTGTGGTTGCCCAGGGTTATTTTGTAAAATTGAGACTTAATATGCTTCAGAGAATTTAGATAAACACTGGCCAAGATTACTGGGAGTAAAAATAGATACATTGAGGTATGGAAAAGCATTCACATAGAGCACTTGAACTTCCTTAGAACCTGTTTGGAGAAAAAAATATAAAGAGTGTACTAAACCTAACTAAGGTTATTACAGTCCGGCTGTTCGAAGCACCATTTTTCCCTTCTGTCTTTTTCCCACTTTCCAGTGTACTCAAGAAAACTGAAAAATTGTAATGAATCAATTTAAAATATTTTATTTCCTAGAAGCCTTTTTTGCCTGTTGTAATATGCAGGACCCTTCTCCTTTGGTGGGAGAGACAGGTAGTTACCTGAATCTAGGTTGAAAAGGTTATGTAAAAAGAAATTATAATAAAAGGGATACTCTGCTTTTCAAATCCTTGTTTTCTCTTAATCTAGGTAAGGCATATCCAAAATAAATATGTAAAGAAGAAAAATAAAAGTTGTCTTCATGGAAGCAACTGGTCTTCCTTGGTTGTACTGAGTTGCAGTTATCCTGGGGTGAAATAATTGATGCTGCCAAATAAGAAAAACAAGTGCCCTCAGAGCAGGTTTTATGTGGCGGATACTGTTGTTTGCTCTTGTTGAGAATCAGGTAGTTAACTTTTGACTTAGTTCAGTTCTTGATTTCTAATGCTGAGATGCCATATGATCCTATGATCATTTGACAAAGTTGGAAATCCTTTCCATGTTTCAACCTTAGGAAAGGTGGATTCTTAATCTAGTAAAGAGAACGTTAAGGAAGCTGTGGGGTTAATTTTGCTCTGATAATGACAAAACCCTGATAGCATTTAATATCAGTGCTTCTTCACAAAACTCAATGTCCATACAAAGTTAAAAAAAAAGAAAAAAGTAGAATCCTCCTACCTTCTTAAAAAGCCTACTGTGACAGCCACCCCAGCCTCATTTCTTTCTCCCCTATGTCCCTCGATTATTGCTTTTTTTTTTTTTTTTGGTGGTACGCGGGCCTCTCACTGCTGTGGCCTCTCGCGTTGCGGAGCACAGGCTCCGGATGTGCAGGCTCAGCAGCAATGGCTCACGGGCCCAGCTGCTCCGCGGCATGTGGGATCTTCGCGGACCAGGGCACGAACCCGTCTCCCCTGCATCAGCAGGCGGACTCGCAACCACTGCGCCACCAGGGAAGCCCCCTCGATTATTGTTTATGTATGGAAATTTCCTCCTGAGAAGGCATGTGTTTCAATTTAGAGGTAATGTCCATGATACAAAATAGTGAAAACTGATTCATTTGGGGATGAAACTTGTAACTCTTACCCAAATGGCGTCATCCTCTAACCTACAGAGTTAAATGCAATAGAACAACAACTCTCCAAGTGCTTTTAAACTCTGCCTTCATTTCACAGTCCAGCTCATTCTCTTATTTTGTTAAGAAGCAATGTGGTATGACTGGGATAAGGAAGAAAAAGAAAAGCATGTTGTCACTTAAGTGAGACTGCCTCAGAAATGTTACCAAGTCAGAGTTGGGTGTTTCCTGTCCTTTGGAAGAGAACAGGCCTAAAATAGTACCTTCCTCATCCTATAGCTACAAGGAAGGCACCATGATTGAGATTACAGATGCTTCCTTAACTGATTTTTAATCAAGTGTAAATTTAAATACTCAGCAAAAGGATGGGAATGAAAAAATGCTGTAGTTTTACAGGATCTATTTCATGTAAACTTTGTGTCTTGGAACAAAATATGAACTACCTAGAGAATGATATTGGAAACTCAGTGGGAGAAACAGTTATAGAATCAAAGACCTATATTTAAATTTTGAACCTAGTTATTAGATTTTGTGCACATTATTTAATTTCTTTAAGCCTCCATTTCTTATGTAAAATGAGGAAACTATCTTGTAGAATTATTCTAAAGATCAAATAAAGGCTTTAAAGCTGTTAGCAGTGTCTGGCCTAGGGTAGATGCTTAATGAATGGCAGCTATATCAATAATAATAACTTAATATTATTGAATAATTTACCAGGCCAAGAAAGAAAAGGACATGGGGAGCACAGAGAGGGTGATAGTAAAGTGAACTGATTATAAGTGTATACAAATAGATTCCACCAGGCAGGGGCGTCATGAGGATCAGCGCGATCATGACCTTGTCAAGTGCACAAGCAAAACAATGACATGAAAACAAGTACACTAGGCCCTGAGTGGAGGAGAGAGTTGGAGGCAGACGCTGCAGGACAGAAAGCTGAGTGAAAAGGGGCCTTTGATTCCACAGGCGCAGAAATCCACAGCCAGGAATTTGCTGCCACCTCTGAGTCAGGCAGGGGGCGTGGGTGCCGAATTCCATTAGTAGGGAAATGCCCAGTGGATTTAGCCCGAGAGTCACATTTCTTATTTGGACCAGTATAGACAGAAACAAACCCAGCTCACTTGTTTCCCGGAACAGTTGAGTTAGGGGATGGCTTTCACAGAGCATTCACCGCTGACCCCTCGCCGCCGGGACCTCTGTAGCCGCTCTGTCTGGCTAGCAAGGAAGATCCGTTCAGACCTGACTGCTCTTATGGAATCTTACGTAAGTTGCCTATTTTGCTATCGTCTATTTTCACTTCATCTCTTCTGATCCAGCCCTTTACCATCATGTTCCAGCCCCGTTATCAGTTACAAAAGCCCTAATCATATAGTCATTTATATATTGGGCACCTGTCATTTGACATGGCCCCTTCCCTTAAGGAAAGTCATACGACCTTACTTTCTCTAGGCTCTTCAGGAGACATGTTGTTCCTTGAATAAGAAAATATACATGGGGTTCTATGTAGAATTGGCTTTATGTCCTGGAGGCTGTTCCTAATTTCATTACTTGTCTGAATTCTGCCAGAAAAGATTAACCATGAGGCCTCTAAGCTTGGGTTCTTCACGTACATTGTTCTGATTTTTTGAGCTTAGAAACGAAAGATGGAGTTAGGTTTATAGGATTGGGAGAAGAACAGTATAAACCAACCAGTTTCTCCTATTACATTATTAGCCACCCTATACAATCAAAAGTGTTCCTGTGTCTAAATAGAAAGGTCACCTATACTATCAAAAAAGTCTCGTAGAAGAATCACTGGGGACCTGGGGAAGTGTCCGATTCTTAGGGAGCTAACCATGGATCTCAGGTTTTCTGATAGAGGAAGATCCCCCTCGGTCTTCATCTAAGGCCTGCCGTGGAAACACTCCAGGCCCCCGTGGAGAGTTCGGAATTTAGGTTCTCTGAGAATTGGTTTATCTTCATAAAACCCCAGCAGTCAGAAATCAGATTCTTTGAAATACCAGTTTTTCAAAAAATAATTGCAATTGACTCCTGTAATAAAGGGTTGTCCTCACCATCGACAGCGAGCAATGGAGAGGCTGTTAGAGAAATTCTACGATGCCTATGTTTTAGAGCTTAGGTGTGGCCAGCGTCTTCAGGTATATTTAAAATACTTAAACTCCAGTATGATTATAATACTCCAGTTGCCAGGAGGGAGTGTCAAGTGGGAAGGAAAAATTATTCTAGACAGTCAGTGGGTGGTTTTCAACCTTTGGAACCTAGTGAAAGCTGTACATTCTCCCAAGAGAAATGAACAGGTAGTCAAAGCAGTATGGATAGTTTCTGGGAGGATAGCTTCTTCCTAAAGTCCGTCAAGGTTCCCAGATGAAGAGTTCCTCATCTAGACTCTCTATTTTCTTTACAATTTGGATCCTTGACCAGGGAAGTGAATAAGATTTTATATGAGATTTAGAGATTAAGTGAGACTGGTGGAGTGATTACAGAAGATGTGAAGTTTTTCTGTATCCTTGACCAGGTGAAGCACCAAGGTCTGAACGAGAACGTAAACCTGGACTCTGTGCGTGGTGTGCCAGTGGCAAGCACTGATCGGTGGAGCGAGCTTAGTGAGGCAGAGCGACTCCAAGAGAACCTCCAAGCTTACCGTACCTTCCATGTTATGTTGGCCAGAATGTTAGAAGACCAACGGGTGCATTTTACTCCAGCTGAAGATGACTTCCATCAAGCAATACATACCATTCTTCTCCAAGTCGCTGCCTTTGCTTACCAGCTGGAAGAATTAATGGTGCTCCTGGAACACAAGATCCCTTCCAGTGAGGCTGATGGGATGCCCCTTATTGTTGGAGATGGTGGTCTCTTTGAGAAGAAGCTGTGGGGCCTAAAGGTGCTGCAAGAGCTTTCACAGTGGACAGTGAGGTCCGTCCATGACCTTCGAGTCCTTTCATCTTGTCAAACTGGGATCCCAGGACGTGGGGGCCATTATACTGCTAAGGACAAGAAAATGTAGCGTTACCCCTCTCTCTCTCTCTTACTTGCTTTCTCCTCTAGTGGAATATATATAGTTTTCTGAGGCCTCACTTTCCCATTCTTAGTTTTGAAAACCTTTAAAACCACAGGCATTTTCATCAGCTAGGGTTGGAGACATGGACAAAAGGGCCTACAGGTTTAGTCTGGGGGGGGAGGGATGTGTGAGTGTGTGTGTGTGTGTGTGTTGGGGCCATAAGGGAGTGGGGGCAGGGACAACATCCTTCCACCTCAGTGCTGTGATCTTTCCTACCCACTAAATAACCTTTACAGGCATTTAACAGCCTCCCATATACTTTTAACTTTAGTCCCGGATGACTCTTCTGAGAAGACTGAAATAGTGAATTAAAAATCATGGACTCTAGTCAATTCACACTCTTGGATAATAAAAACAGTAACTAACATTTATTGAGTATCTACTATATTGAAGCAATATGTCAGGAGTTTTATGTATATCATAATTTTCACAACCCTGCTGAGGGAGGTGGTGTTATTTCCATTTGGCAGATGAGAAAACAGGCTCACAGAAATTTATAACTCGTTCAAGGTTACCCATCTAGCAAATGGCACCCTGAGTTTGAACCCAGATCTTTCTCATTCCAAAGCCTAGTGCCCTTCACTTTAAGGGCCTGATTATGAACCTCTATCACTGCACCTCTTTGCTGCAGAGAGTTGGAAAATGTATCCATGTAATCTATCCCCAGCACTGAAAAAGCAACCCCCAACTGTGTCCTAATAGTGTTAAAGGCAGTATTTGTTGCCCATATTTGGCAAAGAAGAGAGCAGTGGAGATCTTAAGATTAGTCCACCAGACTTTTGAACTTTGGAAGCTGGGAGTGTGCAGTCATACAGCTTGCTTTCAAGTATCCACTAATGTTCTTGAGTTTGGGGTTGGGGACAGCTTACCAGGTTACCTCACATTTATCGTAATCAGCAGTGCAGTGATACAGGCACTGTAACCCGGGCATTCATGGGCAATGGGTAGAATACTGCTCAGGTTAAAAAGTCACAGAACTCCTTCACCAGACAGAGTCTCTGGACTTAGTCATGAGCAGAGGATGAGGCCCACTCTGTTCCCTGTGGGAATGCCAGTGATTCTGAAACAATACAGAGCAAAGCCTCCATGCTTCAGAACAAAGGGCACAGTTCTGCATTTAACGTTCTTGAGAGAAACAGTATGAAAAGCACCAACTAGTAAATGTGGGCATTAATGTAAAAGGTCATTTACAGTCAGGCCTATGAACTCGTGGTGCAAATGGGAATCCAGAAGTTCTCAGGTGTATCATTTATTTCACGCTACCAATCAATTCAAACTCAAGGTCTTGGGTGGGGGCCCAAATCAATTTGGTTCACGTATTTGAGGCTTCTATATTCTTAAAAGGACCATGAGGCAGAGGGGGCTAGCTGCCATAGCTTGTGTCCTTTCCTGCATGGGTTTATGTCCAAAACTCCATGAAGTCAATATTCTGAGAGGGCTCTGGGTGAGGCAAGGTGGCAATACAGGGGAGGTCCGGCCCTGCTCCCCAGGATGCATCTGTGGAAATGGTAGGCATACAGGAGATCAATACTATTGGTAGACCTGAATCGTAGGATGGGTTTAAGCGGTATGGAGTTGAAGGAGATCAGTGAGGGCCAGAAATCGCTTCCTGGAGGAGGGAGGAGTTCAGTTGTGTCTCAGAGGTTGGCTGAGTACCAAACAAAGAGAAAAGTCATGAGGGGAGAAATAGAGAAGAGTTGCCCGGTTAGAAGAAAATGAGGCAATAATAAACATTTGGGTCCACTACCACTAGAAGTTTATCGTTTTGTTTTGTTTGTAATTTTGGTAATGGTAAAAATTTTGCAGTGAATGCATAGAGGCTTATTTCATTCGAGCTTTTCCTTGTTTGAGTTGTTACTTGTGCTTAAGAGCAGTATTTTGATTGGTAAAATACTTGCTTATTAATGTGAAGCGCTTAGATTTATCTGTATAGTACTTTTAGGCTTTTTTATTTAATGAAGAAAGGCGCGACTCAAATTTCTTTTTTTTTTAATAAATTTATTATATTTATTTTATTTTTTGGCTGTGTTGTGTCTTCGTTGCGGTGCGCGGGCTTCTCATTGCGGTGGCTTGTCGCGGAGCACGGGCTCTAGGTGCGCGGGATTCAGTGGTTGTGGCACACGGGCTTAGTTGCTCTGCAGCATGTGGGATCTTAGCCATAATAACAAAGACATAAACGTGTGGCTCTGAGTTTGTAGACTTTGCATCATGCTCATCTAAAATGGATGAAGCAAACTGAATAAGGGACTGACAATAGGCCATATACATATAACTCTATATATTAATAAGGTCTTAAAAGGCATAAATTTAGTTCCCATCCCCTAACTCTTATTTCATAAAGGGGATTCCTTCTATCCCACTCCCTCCAGAAAAGTCTCCTCTATGGGGAGAGATTCAGTTCTCCTGAATCTGTCAAGGAATTGTATGTATGAGAGTTGATAAATACTTCACGCATTGATTTACAAGGATAATTTGGGAAAGACTTGCAAATTAGCACAAACTGAAAGTCCAAGCATGGAATAAAATTGACTTTAAGACAATCAGGTTTTGAGGGAAGTGAGAATTTTAATAAAAATGGAAAGTGTCAGGTCATAGTCCTGGAATTGCTGTTATTTCATGCTGCTGTGGATTAAAGCCCAATGGATGACTCACTGTTGTGACCGCTGGTCAGAGAGGGAGAGGACAAGTAAATATTTGTGGGAGACATACCTGACAAATTGTTTAGAATGACTTCTGTTTGTGAATCCTCAACTCCTCATGAAGTAGCTGAGCAACTTCTCCTATTGAGTAAAATAGAAATGCAGGACGCAGAGGGGCCTCCAGCAGAATGAGAAAGGGATTGGTGAAGAGGAAAAGGAAAAAAAAAAGTTTTTGGATATCACTTGAATTGATTTATCTGTGTGTGAGTGTGTGTGTGTGTTACCAAAAATGTTTAGGCCAGGACATTTTAAAAGGGTAGTTTGTCCTCCTGCCTCATCCTACCTCAGCTTCAAGCATCAGACCCAAGAATGAACCTTCTGAATGTTGGTACATTTAAAAAGTGAAAATGATAAAAATGTCATTGTTTCATTCAAAAGCTTCTATAGAGCTCTAAGGTCTACAGATAAAGATGGAGTAAACATATAATTTGATCTTTTGATGAGATTGTGGGGTGTGAGATAAGAAAATCCATGTGCATGTGATTCTTTATATAATAGATTACTTTGATGGGTCTGTTTTTGGCAGATAGATGCAAGAATGAAAGAATAAAGGATTCAGTAATGGCTAACAATAAAGATTTTGCCTCAGCAAGACCATGAGTTGCTCCTTTTATTTCTGTATCTGGATGAATAAGGGGAATTTCAAGTGATTTCAACACTGGATGAAATGTAATCCTCCCAGCCAGGGCCAGGCTCACTCAAGCGTACTAGGTAAATCTCTATGATGCCAGGCCACGGGCATCAACTCCCAAGGCCAGTCAGCCTCAAAAACGTAGATTCCCCCTACATTTATCAGCTAGCCTGTAGATGAGAAATATTTCCTTTTATATAGTTTAATTTCGAGTATTTGAACCCTAATCAAGCCTTTGAAACAGAAGGATCCTTACTAGCCTGTTTCTAGTCAGTTTGAAGGCAGAAACTAAGTTGAGGAAAATACACAGGAGAAAATATACAGCATGGCTAAGAGTATTTTTATCCACATGTTCATACGAGTTTGAACTCGTATTGAAAGGGAATACTGCATTTACTTACTATGTCAGACAGCTCTACCCTGTCTTATGTCATTTGCTCCTCTTTCACAAACAAGGGAAATGAGAATGAGTGTTAACTTGTCCACGGCCCCTCCTCTAGTGTATGACAGATTTGGAGAGTTCTGGCTCCAAGACTCATTCCACTATAGCCAGCTGCCACGGTACAGCTAGCAATCGAGATCATCTTAGACTGAAATCCATTCTCCATCTCTGTAATTCACTTCTCTTGGATAAAGCCAGCCACAGACTTGTACAAAATCACTCTCTGTCACAAACCCTATTATGTTTCCAAACTTTGGGGCAAGTCACTTTTTCTGAGCTCCCTCATTTATGAAATGGAAATGACTTCACAGGTTGTTACATGGTTTAGACAAATCTGAGAATCTGAAAATACTTGTAAATGACATACAAACATCAAGTATCCTTAATACCTCAAATAGCTTGGATTAACAGAAGACTTTCGACTGAGGAGAGACTATCTTAGAAATACCAGTTGCTTCCCAGGATCCATCTGGTCACAGCCTAGACTTCACCCTGTTTGTTGTGCCCATGGGCCTTTGGCCATTAGAGGCCGACCCAGTTTCACGCACAGCCTCCAGGAATCATCCACCTCTCTGGAGCGGTGAGACCAGGCTGTTCACCACATCCACTAAGATGGTTTTCACAAGCATCAGACTTGTGAAGCCTGGCTGGCTCTGTAAAGAACCAAGGAAACACGCAAGCCCAGGATGTGTTAAAGCACGCATTCAGGCTCGGAGTCACCCCGCTATTGGCCAGCACCCTCCTCAACACAAGAAGGAACTCAAACTTCATTTAGTTCAATCTCACCGTTAAACACATTGCACAAGGAAGCCAGAGAGGTGCCCTGGTGTCCCGGCTGCAAAGTAGAATTACAAGTATAATTTGGTCCAGCGCATTCCCCACTGGGCCTCCCTGCTTCTCCATTAGACCAATATCATCTTAGGAAGCCTCAGTTCTCTTTGTTTGCATCCTTTCACTCTTCTGCATCCAGTGCTCTCTGGCACCCTTCCTTCTAACAAGCCTTTGGAAGCTCTGGGAACAGCAGCTCATAACCCAGACTTCTTTTGCCTCCCCAGACCCCATCTCTACTATAATTTGGTGGTCCCGTATCCCATCCCTCCCCTAATATTATGGGGAAAATGGGACACATTCGTAGGTAACGGTTAAATATGTTATTTCTTCCAGGTGAGTAGCATTTGAACAAAGGGCCCAGGGAAATTTTTTAAAAATAAATTTCTGAGGCAGGTTTCTTATCTTTAGGTCAGACCAACCGTTAGGCGACACCACTAGGAAAGGTTTAGGACTATTTTCTCTTTTCTTACTTAGCAATCCCTAGTTCCTATCCCCAAAGCTTGGGGTGGAAGGAGGGTTGGGAGTTACATAAATAACTTAAATAGACCAATAAAAGTTCCCAACCTGGTTCTAAGCAATAAAGCTCTAAATCTTTCAGAAGCCTTCTACCAGACTCCAACCAAATTCAAGAACAATGCATAATGACACCTACTTTGGACCAGCACTAAGAATACGGAAATGAATATTAATGATAGTAGCAGACATTTATATGGTGTTTACTCAGCCATTCATCGATCTAATCGCTGTATGTGCATTCATTCACTTACTCCCCACAAGAACCCAATGAGGTAGGTACAAAGATTTTTATGTTACAACTGAAGAAACAGGGGCACAGAGAGAGCTGATGCTTCCCTGCCCTGGAGACATTCATGGTCTCCTGAGAAAGACAACAGGTACACACTCAACTGTGACAGAAATCGGGGTGTGGTTAGTCATACCAGAGTCTAAACAGGGGCTGGGGGAGCCCAGAGGAAGGAAGGATTGGAGGAAGCCTCTCAAAAGAGGCACTTTGGGGGCTTTCCTGGTGGCACAGTGGTTGAGAGTCCTCCTGCTGATTCAGGGGACACGGGTTCGTGCCCCGGTCCGGGAAGATCCCACATGCCACGGAGCGGCTGGGCCCGTGAGCCATGGCCGCTGAGCCTGCGTGTCTGGAGCCTGTGCTCCGCAACGGGAGAGGCCACAACAGTGAGACGCCCGTGTACCGCAAAAAAAAAAAAGAGGCACTTTGGGAGCTAGGCTTTGAAAAATGACTAGGTTTTGCCCCCAAGAAAAAAAAAGGGGGGGGGGGTGAGGGATGGGCAAGAACATCTCAGGTAGAAGCAGAAGCACTTGTCAAAATTTGGCTGCTGGAAGGCATGTGGCATGTTCCAGAATGTTCCCCCAAGAGCCCCAGTGGAAGATGAGGTGCAAGGAGTGAGGGGATGATGCCTTGAAGAAAGAATCTATGAAAGGTTTTTGAAGAGGGATAATGCTAGCATCTACCCTTTGTTTCAGAAAAGGAATTCAGACAGCTAAGTCAGAGCTGTATTAGAGGTGAAAGCTGCTGGAAGCAGAGAGACCCATTAAGAAGATGCTCTTTTGCTCAAGGTAAGATATGTTTCAGCTATTTGTGGAAATGTTAGAAGCACTAGGAGATAGAGGTGAACACGACACAGTCCCTGATCTCTTAGAATCTGCATTTTGGTGGGGGAAGACAGGAACACACAATAATATAACCAAGTGTTAAAAATGACATAGGAACTCGAAAAAGTGATACAGACTTACTGAGAGTAGGAGCCATGAAGGCCTTTCTCAAGTGGTTATTTCCTGCTGAGATCTGAATGATGACAAGGAGGCAGCCACCAGTAGACCTGAAGGTATTTCAATCACAAGGGACTGTTTTTTGTTTTTAATTTATTTATTTTTGGCTGGGCTGGGTCTTCATTGCTGCGCGTGGGCTTCCTCTAGTTGCGGTGAGCGGGGGCTACTCTTTGTTGCAGTGCACAGGCTTCTCATTGCAGTGGCTTCTCTTGTTGTGGAGCACAGGCTCTAGGCGCACGGGCTTCAGTAGTCGTGGCGCACGGGCTCAGTAGTTGTGGCTCACAGGCTCTGGAACGCAGGTCAGTAGTTGTGGCGCACGGGCTTAGTTGCTCTGCAGTGTGCGAGATCTTCCTGGACTGGGGCTTGAACCTGTGTCCCCTGCAGTGGCAGGCGGATTCGTAACCAGTGCGCCACCAGGGAAGTCCCAGAGAACGGTTAAGTGCAAACCCTGAGGCAGGAATGAGCTTTCTGTCCTCAAAGCCACATTAGCCTGAAAGACGGCTAACATGGCTGAAACCAGGTGAGCAGGGGAACCATGCCTGTGCCAAGGCCCTCAGCCAAAGACCAGGAGAAACACACCTGTAATTAAACAGGTGGGTTTATCACCTGTTGCAGTGAGGAAGCACGCACACTGTGGGAGA